AATTTCATTATTTATTATTATTCTTTTGCGTCCATGATTAGTTATAATAATGATTTAAAATATTAATATTTTGTTTATTTGCATTAATTTGTTAAATGTTTTTTTTTTTTCACATTTTCCGACAATTTAGCTATTTCAGTTTAATGTTTAAAATTTCTAATTTTGTAGTTGAAAAACTTGTTCAGTTTGTAAAATTTCTTGATTTTTTTAATTCTTTATTTTTCAATGTGTTTTTGTATTTTGTTTTTTTTTCTTGCTTTTCATTATTCTTGATGTGTTTATTTTTTGTCTTTTCAACACTTTTAATTTTTTTTCCGCATTATTCATCAATGAATCAATTCAAATACTTCATATTTTCTCATTTTTTTAATGCTCTAGTCATATTAGCATACGATTGATTGATTTATTATTTGAAGATATCAAAAATTGTGATAGCAATGAAAATTTATGCCAAACGGGCATGCAACAATCACCAATTATCATTGATGCAAATACAATGGAACGAAAAAATGATTCTAAAAGAATTTTTACTTTTATTGGTTTCAACCATCATAAAATAATTCGTTTTTATACACTCAATTTTGGTCCTACAGAATGTTAGTCTTTTTTATAAGTTATCAAATAAAAATTAACAATTCCTTTTGCACTGTTCGACATAAATTTCTTTTTGTTTTAATTTGATTCATTTACTTAATTTAAGTTATTTAATAAAATTAATAAAAGTTATAATTAGTAACAGCATTCAAATTATTTTTGACTTTGAAATCAATTTTAATTACAAAATTAAGCGTTGGTTGTTGTGAAAATCCCATAGTTTGTGTCAGTTCCTGTTTTAATTCAAATTATTTACTTAATGATATGAATTTTATACAAATTTCTTAATTGATAATAATAATAATAATAATAATAATAATAATAATAATAAAATAAATCTGCTGCTTGCTATCTGTTTAAGTTATCGATTTAAAACCATCAAATTGTAATATTTCTATTAATTTTTTTTCCTAAATTATCGGTGTTGGATGTTAATTTTGCATTACTCAGCAGCAGCGAAAAAACCAATAAAATTTCATTAGAAAAAAGAGCTAACCAAATGTAATTGAATAACAACGAATAAATAGTAAGAATACGTAATACCAAGTGCTTTGTTATCTTTTCAGTAAAAATTTCAAATTGATAAATTATCATAAATAAAATCAAATATTCGCATATCATTTTTAGTTTATTATCAAAATGTTTTATTGATAATTTTGCCAAGCATTTTAATAAATATCACTGTAAAACAAATGAAAAATATTCTAGAAATTAATAAGAAATCAAAATAAAAGATTTGCTACCTAAACAAATCTGAATTTTAAAATTTCAGTATCGATAACAAGTTTTGATCGTGGACCATGGTTAGAGTATAATGAAAAAACATTTGCCTTGTATAAAATCCGATTCATATTTAAATATGGCATAAAAGGTGGCTTACATCGTTTAATCAATTTTGGCGCAATGGAAAAACCTGTTGGAGAGGTTTGCATTAAATGAAATATAAATTCATTTTTTATTAAAAATTGTAAAAAATTTTAAATGTTATGTAATCTGATAAAATAAAAGAATTTTTCTCATTTGTTGTTTTAAATCATCAGTTTATTAAGATTACATTTCTTCTAACTAGAATTTAGCTTTAAATATAAATGTCTTGATTAGCTATTTACTTAATTTAAATTATTCTATCATTAATAAGTGAGATTTATTTTGGAATAAATGAATTTAAATATTAATTCATGCTATCTTCTAAAAATATTTAATGATTCATAAGGATTTATTCATTAACTATACCAAATGTTTAGCATCATCAATTCTAACTTTATTTATTAATTAGATATTAATGGAATTCGAACAATGCCATAAAAATCCTAAGGAAAAGAAATATTTTTTCGTTTCAACCATTTTGATTCTTGCTAATCAAACAAAATTGAAAATGGATATCGATATGAGTGGCAAAGAAATAATTAATTTTAATTATATGTTTGATGGTATTCCAATACCAAAATATCCAGTTGATAAAAGTTGTTCATTATTAAAAATACTCCTTTATTTTTTCCATTTCTATTTACTTCTATGATAGAAAAAGAAAAAGAGAGAGGCAGAAAGGAAGAGAGAGATGGCAAAAATATATTAATAGAATCTATATGAATAAAGTAAACTTAAATCAAAAATAAATAAAATGGACTAAAATTGTTTTTTCAAAAAAAGAAAATTGAAAATAATACCTTGAGAAATTAATGATTATGAATTAAATGATTTCTTGGATGGCAAACATTTTTAAGGTTACTAAAAAACAAAACGATAGATGCATTACTGATAAACAAAAATAGAAATGTAAGAAAGTGGAAAGAAATAAATGGAATATTTAATGTATAAAAATTTTTACAAGTTTAGTTATAACCCATACTTTCATTATTATTATTATTATTATTATTATTAATCATTTATTCAGAACTGTCATCCAAAAGGATTCAACTTTTGTTGGATTTAAAACATTTCATACCAAAATCATTTACTGGCGCAATGTCATATGTTGGCTCATTCTTTGAGGGAGATTGTCGAGAAGGAGTAACATATCTGATTTTTGATACTCCAATCGCCATAGAACCTGTTTGTTTACTTTTACTTCCTTTGTTTTGATGAGGAATAAATTTAATTTTAACATCTGAAATTGTGGATTAAATTTTTTTTATCGTTTTGTTGACAGTAAACATAATAAAAAATTAAACTATAGTTTAGGTTGAGCATCTAAAAATTTCAACATTTAAAAAGCTAACAAAATATTGCTGACTGTAGATTATTATTCCTCTGATCTTATTTCAATCAATACGTAAATTATTTAGTTTCATAATTAATCCTTCGAATTTTTTGAAAAGATAGAAATAAGAATGATTTAATATATTTTCAAAATATATTGAAGATATATTTTAAATAATCAGCGATATCAAATGACTTTAGAAGAAGTAGTTATGATTTTTTACATTTTTTACATTTTTTTTTTTGAAGAATTTATGCAATACTAACATGACCCTTCTTTTTTTTTTGTCTTTTTTCCACTTTCTTTTCACATAGATAATTAAATTTGATAAATCATATTACTGCTAATTTTTAGGGATTACATCTGACAAACTTTTACTCTAAAAATATTAATTTAACACGATCAGTACAAGATGAACGACAAGCACAGTATTATATGTCACCAAATATTGAATTTGTTGAACGTGACCATGAAAGTAAAAAACTTTGTGAAAGTGTTACAACTCAGATCAGTGATAAAGTTTCTGCAAATGCATATTCAGGTATAGCAAAAAAATAAAGTTTTTTTTTAAACTTATACATTATTAGCTAACCAATTAAATGCAAGTAATAATTATTATTAATTTGAGCAAATTCAAATGCAAATTAAATTAACCGTTTATCTTCAACTAATCACTTTTCTTATATTTTCGTTACATCTCTAAACAATTATAAGGTAATTTATTTCGTTAATCGATTAAATTGCATCATTTTCACTTCATAAATTAAGTAATCAAGAACTTTTTTTCCACACCGAAATGAAATCATAATTAAGAAACAATTAGTATTTAAATAAAAAAAAAATCGACTGATTATTCTTGCTTAATATATGCTTTATTGCTAACGGCATTAAAAGAAGAAAAAAACTGAAATTCATTAAGTTGAAATTTTCTTTTCTTTTTTCTAATGTTAAATAAGAATTTTGAAAATGGAAGTTTCAGATGACTTCCAAGACTTTTTCGATCAAAAGAGTCTGGATGAAACTATACAACCAAAATTACCAACTGTCGTAGGTGCGGGAAAAGAATCATTCATTTCATCATATTTATTATTACTAATTTTTGCTATTATCGTTTATTTTTTTAATATCTAAAATAAAGTAATGTTTAATTTTGTATTCTTGAAAAGAATGTCGACAAAAATTGAAAAATAAACAAAAAAAGGAAGAAAATGCTTATGCAAGGAAGATTATTTTAAGGAAAGGAGAAGAGAGGAGAGAATATAACTTTTTTTTTTTCAGTCAATATGAAATATACTCTAAAGTGTCGTATTTGATGACATTTTCCATCAAAAACAAATATACAAAAAAATCATGTCAATAAAGATGATTGAATTAGTAATTTGCTGAGTTAATTTAAATAATTAAAGCTAGATAAAGTCACTAAACAAATTCATATTTAAGATAATCAAAAAAATTGCAAAAAAAGAAAATTTCTATTGAAATGTTAACAGCTGAAAAACTATCACAATAACATAGATTAATTAAGTGCCACACGTGTCATCATCCATCACCACTATCTGCCACCAGTTTTGCAGCATAGCATTTGCCGTGCCACCTAGTAGTAGTATAGCAGTGGCAGTAGCTCTTTGGTAATTTCCAGATGGACGGTGTTATGAAGTGATTTGTTTGCTAAAATCCCGATAGTATGTTGTAATTGAGATTGAGAGTGTTACAACTGATCTGTTGTCTAATTCTTTCTTTTCATCATTTAGGAAAAGTAAAAAATTGATTTCCTCTAAATAATTAAAATTTATATTATGCAGTTAAAATTGATAGGAATAAGAAAACGATTTTAGATATTTTCAGTTTTAATGATCGTATCATTTTATTTTATTACAAAATGCTGATTTGTTTTCTTTCTTTTTCTGCTCACTTGGAGTAGAAATTTTCCAATTTATTTTTTCAAGTTTTTGATGATGTAAAGTTCAGTGTTATTTGAATTTGAGTATTAGTATGATGTTCTTTTTTTTGATTAATTTTGATGGATTTTTTTGAATAATAGTATGCTTATATTGCATCACAGTTTTATCGTACTACTTTTATCATTAAATTAAGTTAGTAATATGGTCGTAACATTTTTTTTTCTGGATTATAGTTGTCTGTGTCTGATTTTCATTTTAAATGATGCTCAATTTCATTGAATTTTAATTTTATTTTCAAAGAAGAAATGGATGATTTGGGAAAAAGCGAAAATAACACTGTTGGAGATGTGGAAGCCAATGATCAGAATGATTGGAATGCAGACAATGCGGGACTGTTTCAGAAATTGGTTTGGGAATACGAATTGAGCCGAGGAAGATGGATCAAATATGATAATGTAGTCAACAAAAAATTAAAGTAATCCTCCATATTACTTTAGCATACAAATATATTGGATTTAAAGAATATTTAATGTTGACATTGCCGTAGAATGTCAAGAGCAAGTATCATGCGCAGTACATTCCATCTGTGGAAATGTATAGTTTTATGAAAATATCGAATGCAGTACGACTAAAATTGTTCTTTATTCCATAAGTTACTTCTTTTCTTTTCTTTCATTGCTTTCAAATTCTCTAAGAATCTCTGAAAGATGCCTCATCAGAAGCAGAAATATTTCATTCGCATTTAATTATAACTCAGAAACTACTGTTTCATATCACTTTTCATTAAGATTTGTTTGATCAAATTAGCTATCATTTAAATTTATCAAAATTAGTAGTTTGTATTATAGTGATAACATAACCCATGGTATTACGGAGTTTGAAATGGATGAGTCTAAATTACAAGTTGATTTCAATTCAATGAAACAAAAAAATTTGGATACCGGTTTTGTTCGGTCTATAAGATGCGCCATTCGAAATGACGAAGGTAAATGACCACCAAATCAGTGGAATTTTTCTCTCCTAGCTCAAATTTTAGCATATTTTTGAGAATATATTTATTCGAAAAGCATATTTTGTCGTAGATCTTTATCGTGTTTGGGAATATCTTGATTCGAAAAGACGTTGGCGAAGTGTGGGTCCAGTATCTGCCGTTACATTAGAAAATGCCTTCGTTAATGAATCTGGACATGTTAAAATACTGCTGTCAGGAATGAATTTTGTTGCTGATTTTGACACAAATCTAATCAGAAGTGACGACGGATCGACGGAATATAAAGTGAGTAGAAATCATCTTTTTTTTTTTTTTTTTTTTTCTTAAATCTTTGTGAAAAAAATTCTTTTATAGATTTATGGAGTTTTTCCTTAGTTAGGAAGTTTCATTAGTATTGTCAAATGCACTGTCAGATTCGTTCGCACATTTCGAATGCGGAGCCATCAATGTCATCAAAACCAGTCCCAAGAGTTGAACGTCTTCGAGCAGCAAAGCGTATTGCAGCACGAACCGATATACCTTCGCTTGAAAGTAAACAAAAGGTTAGCTATGAAGGATTTTAGTATTTGTCTTACAGCTAGTACCATAGACTGTGTAGTTGTACTGAACAAACCTGAAGATGGCACCTATGTACTGCCAAACGATAGTGCAAAAAAAAAAAAAAAATAGTCTGAGTAAAATCGAAATACCTCTCTAAGGTATTACCCTATGATCGATTATTTTTTGCTTAAAAGTGATGCATTTGTTGCACTTTTCAATGCACTATTACATACTTTCCAGAAAGCTTTTTAGTATCATCAAGAAATTTTTTAAAAGGAAGAGTTTTTAGGAGTACGACAGTCATTAAATGTGATCCGTTGTACTCTAAGTTATAAAATCAAAAAAATTTTTTCGAAGTAAAAAACTTATTTTATATGTAATAAAATGCGTCCTCAATGCCTCTATCTTCAGTTTGATGGATCATCGAAATTACAGCCAACAGGGAAGGAGGATGACAGAAATGATACCAATGGAGATGATGATAAGAGCAAAAGTCGTAGAAAAGGAAATGTTAATTCTGAAAATCAAAAATCAAATGATTCGAGTACTGGTAGGATGTTTCTGAGGAGCATATCAAATCATTAGGCATTATTAATGATATGATGAAAGATGTAGGCATATCGAGAAAAAATATGCCTGATTAGCTGTACTTTGAGCGCGATCGCATTGTAGGTGAAATGGAAATTCATTGCTGTTAAAACAGTGCTTAAATGCATATTCTTTTATTTCATTTCTTTAGTTTGTTTGGTTAATAAAATTATTTCAGATAACAAAAGCGATTTGAAAAAAGTTATACTAAAAGGCATTGCGGCTGTAGATCCTGAATGTCATGAGTTAGTTGGCACCACACATGTTTATACCGAATTCAACAATGTTTATGATGCCTTATTGAATCAGGTTGCATAATTGAATTGCTTCTACAATAATATATTGTGTTGGGTCTAGTTTTAAGGAATAAATGATGAAGATGTGAATTAAATTTTTCACTTTCTTAAAGGAATCATTAATTCTTCACTTACTTAGACGGAGCTAATACAGTTTTACAGTTTTTTGTTTCAGACCAGTGCACAGTGCAATAAAAATAAATTTTTTATCATACAGTTGTTAGAATCTGATATAGAAAAGCGCTATTGGGTTTGGTTCCGTTGGGGGCGTGTTGGCTACAAAGTTTGTTTTTATGGATTACTTCCGTCATATATGTTTGATTTTCAATTCATGCTTATTTAGTGATATATCAGTGCAGGCGATATCCATTTCTTCATAAATTGATATCGTAGTATCTTGAAGTTTCATATCACTCGTATCACTCAAAGTATTTAAGAAAGCTTTGATTTTACACCTGGAATTATATAATTGCTTATTAAGTGATTTCGAAAATCTGGATGAATTTTTCTCTCAGACTATATGTTCAGGGACAAACTAGTTTGAATCCATGTGGTGCGAACTTAACATTAGCAAAGAAATTATTTTGTGACAAGTTCAAGAACAAAACGGCAAATGAGTGGACCGAAAGAGCTAATTTCGATAAAATATCTGGCAAATACGACTACTTGCCTGTTTGTTTCTTTAAATAAAACTATGTTCAGTGTTTTAAAATAAAGTTTTTAACAATTTGCAAAAGTTCTTTCTGGTTTTAAATAATGTACTGTACTTTTAAGAGTGATTATTCGAAACTAATAGAGGAGGAAATGAATGAAAATGAAGATAAAGAGAAAAAAGTTGAATCAAAATTAGATCCCTATTTGCTGCATTTATTAAATATTATTTGTGATATACGAACAATGGAGGAAACGATGACAGAATTGGAATATGATGCTACTAAAGCACCACTAGGTATAACACCTGATTATTTGACTTTTAAGAATTACATTTTTTATTTTTTTTGAATGCCACAGCTGAGCATCTCAATTTTCATTATTTTTCGTTATATAACAAACAACATCATGCTGTCATCATACTCCATTAATGAATTTGACTGTTAACTATTTTTTGTTACATATATTAGTTTTGTAGCTATTGATCGCTTGGTAAGTAAAAGAGCTGTAAGTAATGTATGAACTGCAGAAATTATATTTTTAGGAAAAGTAACGGATGAACAAATTAAGGCTGGCTACGCAGCGCTAACAAAAATTGAAGAGTATATTAAGAAAAAGGATTTTTCGTCCAATTTTATTGAAACTGTCAATAATTATTACACAAAAATTCCTCATTTTTTTGGGTAATTATTCCATCAGAAATGATACTTAAAATTCAGTGCAACAAGTCTGTCAGTAATTTTCACTTACAACACGCATAAGCATTCCAGGACATTACCATCTTTTTTAATTATTTCATTTTCTTTAGACTATGATGGTATTAAAATTCAACATTGAATGTTCAGTGTACTATGAATTATTGAATTCTTCAGCACATTTGCAGGATGCGTCAGCCACCAATGATTAAAACAATGGAACAGTTAAAAACTGAAATTAAATTGTTGGAGGCATTAAATGGAATTGGAGTAGCTGTACGAACCTTCAGGAAAGAGGGAGATGTGAATATTCATCCAATTGATCGTCATTACATAAATATGAAATGCGAAATATCACTCCTTAGTGTAAATGATCCTATTTATCAGGTATTTTTATTCAAGTAGCTTTAAAAAAAGATTCAAGACATTAAGTTTAAATCATATTCAACATGGAAGGTGAATGAATCTATGTCACTTTCTCACTTAATGAACATCGAATCACCGAATATGTGAAATGGCTTTTCAATTGAAGAAGAAAACAACCCACGAGGACAATATCGCGCTTTTGTTATTTATCTAACAAGGATGATATTACAATCTGTATGTCATTTTTTTTTTCGTTTTATAATAATCCAGCTTGTGGATAATTATCTTCAATGGACACATGCTCCAACACATATTATGTATCAAATGCGCATTCGTAATTTATATGCAGTAAATCGAAGCGGAGAACGAGAAGAATTTATGTTCGATATTGGTAACAGGTTTAAATATATATATTATTTATAGTTTAGTGTTGAACTAGTCATAAGTTTCATTTTTTTTTTCGTTTTGTTATTTATGTTGTGTTATTCTTGCAGTTTTGGGATTCTTAATAGATGTTAAAGCACATTATTACGTCTTAAAATCGTTTGTTAATATGACATTATAACGGAAAAAGCAGCAAAACATTCTATTATTTAGTAATAATTTTCTGTCCATTACTGTTTTTTTATCTTTTATTTCTTAAAATTTCATTGCTTTCAAACGTTCCCAGTGAAACAGAAATGAGATTATTTTGCTATTTTCTATAGCTTTTTGAAAAGCTTGTTTTTATTTTCGTTGAGTAATATTTATAGCTCAGATAAAATGTTAGTTTTTTCAAAGGCGGAAATAATTTTTAGGAAGTTATTATGGCATGGATCTCGACTTACAAACTGGTATAGTATTTTATCTCAAGGTCTTCGAATTGCCCCGCTGGAAGCTCCTAAGGTAAACTTTTGAAATTATTTTCTAGAGTTCCATTATTTTTTCTTTCTATTATAGCTTAAAGTACATTTTTAACTTTTGTTTCAGACAGGCTACATGTTTGGTAAGGGTATTTACTTTGCTGATATGTCAACAAAATCAGCCAATTACTGCTATCCACAAGAAAATAAGCCTGGTTTTTTGGTATTGGCACAAGTTGCATTGGGAGAAATGAACGAATTATTACAAGCTGACTTTCACGCCAGTAAACTTCCTGAAGGAAAGAATAGTACTAAAGGATTAGGTTTAATTGTCCCCGATCCGACTACATATATCACTTTGTGAGTTTTTTGATTTCTTACCATTATTTTTACTGGTTTTCGCTACAACCCATTTCGGTATTTTTTAAGTTTTAAAATATGCTTTCAGTAGTTTATTTGGCAGTGCAATATGTGCATAATTTGTATAGTATTGTATTCACATCTTCCCCAAAAATTCAAACTATTTTATGTGATTTGTCTTATGTTTGGACCGTATTTATATATAATAAATGATTTTGCCACTAAATTCTAAATTTCATGATCTATTTGCAGAGACGATTGTGAAGTGCTATGTGGTAAGCCGATCACATTGCAACCAAAAGACACGATATTTCCCCTTGTTTATAACGAATACATTGTTTACGATGTGAAGCAAATTTGGATTCGTTATCTGGTTGAAATTGATTTCATTTTTAACTAGGTTTTGCGTATTTATTCACTCATTTGTTGCTGTCAACATTGTTTGTTTACACCTATCTTATTTAGGTATTATTTTGAAAATCGTTCCATTTATTTCTCGAGTTTTTAGGTATTTCATGTTTTTTGGTCATAGTTTTTTGTTTTTATTTATTTCAAATGATGTTATTAATTCCAATATTAATGGCCAGATTAAGGAACTAGTGCTTCAATTTACTGATTGCTTAGCATGATTTCGAAAAGGGTCTATACCGAATAGAAAGATCCCATCAATACTAAGATTAAAGATTTATTATTTGAATCGGGGAAGAAAACTCTGTGATGATGACAACTGAAAAAGGTAAAGTTTGTTTCTTTTGAATAAGATATTTCAATAAAATTATAATTTAATGTTCAAATACGATTGATACGACGTCCCGTTTATCTGCTACTTAACTCAAGTGAAGTTCTTGGACAAGGAAATACTGAAAGATATAAATGTATAATTAATCATCTTAAACATTATGCAAGAAAAGTCTTCATTTGTACTATAAATAATTGTTCGGAATTGTTTGTATTTGAATAAATTCATTGAGTCTTTGTATAGCCTAATTGATAAATGAATTGTTATTTCGAATGAACTTTTTAAATTACTTAGAATGATTTGATTCATTTCGTAGTTTTTGGAAATTTCTCGAAACAAAACAAAAATGCTTATCTTACCCGTTATTTTGTTAGCATAAATGATTTCTCTTGCATTTTTCAAATTTCTTCCGTCATTTTATTGAATATAATCATTAATTGCATGTAATTGTTACGCTTTTTTTTTTTTTTTTTTTTTTAAATCACTTAAATATAAAACACTGTACGATTATACGACATGTGATATTGATCTGTGTTATTTCTATAAAGTTATTTTACTACGTCAGCTATGCTACTTTCTTGTTTAGCTATTTCGTCTCAAATACTTTTTTGTTCAAATATTTTTCTGTTCCTTTTTTTTTTTTTTTTTTGTCTGAAATTTACAGTTTAACATTGATGAATTATTGAATTATACATATATGTTAATTTTTAGGTGAACTAATGGAAAAAGAAAAAGGAAATATGGCTGATTTTGATGATTTTGGTTTACTAGCACAAATGGCTCGTCGAGAATTAATTCATTTACTTGAATCGATACCTGAAGTAAAAGATTTAGCAGTGGAGCTAAGTTTAATGCGACCATTGGATAAAATAGCATCAATGTCTGTGTTACAAGAACATAACTGCGCTCATGTGCAACAATTTTTGCATCATTCAAATTTAAAATGGAGTGAGAATGCTATACATCGTGTATATATTATACGTCCAACGCTTGCTGCAGCAAAATGTATTGCTGAACATATTTTAGCTGAACCGGAACGAAATTATTCGGTAATATTTGTTCCACAACGTTTGTATATTTGTGAGGAAGAATTTGAGCGTTGTGGTATATATGGTATGATTGATATTCTAGAACTTGAATTACCACTAATCAATATTGATAAGCATTTATTCAGCTTGGAACATCATGAATTTACAATGGCAACATTAGTAGATCATAATTTTATTCATCTTCGTGCAGTTGCTAAATCATTATGGCAATTACAAACACTCTATGGATTAATACCAATTGTTTATGGTATTGGAGAAAATAGTATATATGTAAATAAATTAATGAAAAAATTACACAATGAATTTGGTGAGCCACGTTTATCATCGGATCAATCAATTGATTACCTATTTCTATTCGATCGAAGTTTAGATTTACCAACTGTTTTTCTTACTGGTTTGACATACGAATCAATGGTACACGATACATTTGGAATAAGTTGTGGTAAAGTGATATTTGGCGATGAAGTAAATAAGCGTATAAAAAATGATAATATAAATCGTTCTAAAATTACCACATTGGATAATAATGATCCAATTTTTTCAGCTGTACGAAATATGCATATGACAGCAGTTTTTCCATTTTTAAGTGCTAAAGCAAAATCTCTTCAAGCAAGTTACGACAAAGGTTCAAATCTTGAACAAGTAAAAGATATGAAAGAATTTGTATCCAATGAATTACGAACACTGAAACAACAGCATAAATTACTAGAATTGCATATTTGCGCTTGTGAAGTGGTTTTGGAGAAATGTAAAGGAATTTCAAGTCGACTTACACTGGAGCATGCATTAATTTCAGGAAATTTTGATCCTAATGAAGTATTAGCATATTTGGAAGATTGTATGTGTACTCAACACAATCAATGGCAAATCCTCTTATTAGCATGCTTATGGTCTCTTACACAAAATGGTATACCAACCAAATATTTCAATCAGTTTCGAAATCAATATCTCTATGCTTTTGGCCATGAAAATCTTGCAATATTACATTTTCTTGGTATTCAAGGTCTTCTAATTGAGCGTTCTATTCCACAACTAACAACTGTACATAATGTTATACCTATCAAATCTCAGCCTGTATCATCATTTTCTAAGCCTACATTTCAATTTTTAACACGACGTATGGCACTTCTTCCAGGCAATACCGAAACAACAATAAATCTTCGAAATCCTGATCAAATGCGATATGTTTTTTCAGGTGTTTACACACCTATCTTATGTAAAATAGTTAATGATACAATAAATAATGGATGGAATATGGAAGAAATGAAGATAACTTTTGGTGATACAGTTTTTTGTGATCAAAATTGCTCGCCAAATGCAAATCGTCAAACTGATAATCGTATCCGAAAAGTAATTTTAGTATATTTTATTGGTGGTGTAACATATTCGGAAATTGCTGCATTAACTTTACTTGCACAATACAATAATTTACGTATTATTATTGCTACAACAAATATTATTCATCGTGAAAAATTCATTAAAGAACTTGCTAACGTATCTGTTACATCTTTTTCGGAAATGTAAGTGATTATGCTGCTTATATCGGTGATTATTTAATTATTTGTATAACTTCATGTTTTGCAAGTTTAATTACTAGTATTTGTGTTTTTAGATAGTTTAATTTATTTTAAATTAAAATAAAAGAATAATGGTGATTGGTTTGGAGAAAAAAAAAACATTTAAAATGAGGTTTTTACTGCATTTTGACGGTTATTTTGGAATTTTATGCATTGATTTTTTGCATTAATTTGTTTTATCTTATCGATTCATTTTTATTTTAATAAGTCAAGAATGTAGAATGTAAATTATGCGTAATGCTATACTGATGTATTTTTTAATATAAAATATTTGCTCATTTAAGTTTTAATTCTTAAAGATATTTGAAATTTGCTGTTAATTTTACAACATAAAAAAAAGGAATAAAAATGTAAGAAACTAATTTCAAGTGAGTCTTTTTGTATTTTCAACCGTACTAATTTTTTTTTTAAATAGGAATTTGGAATTTTAACCTTATTATGCATCATTTTTGTCCGTTTCCCAAATGTATTAGGCATGTTAATATTAAGCATAATTATAGAAAGTTAAGATATTTTGATATTATTCAGAATTGATGTTTGATATAACAAATTATTTCTTCCATGTAATTATTTTGGGAAAAAATTTTTTAAATTAATTTGAATTGAAATTAATTTAAACATGCCAGAAGGACCGGATTTTAATTAATCATTTAATTAATTAATTAATCATGCAGTAAGCATTGATTATTTTATATTTGCTATTATTATGTCAGTGATTTGAATACATAAATTATTTTAAACAAATTGTGTTAAAATTTGTATTTTCATTTATGTTTACTCTTCGTGTTTACACGCAATAGTACATCGTATTCTTTACAAATTTTAATTTTTTTCAAATTATTCATTTCAGCAGTTGTTCACTTTTTCTACAGTGTTGCAAAAATCATGTGTTATTAAGAAATCATGGAATTATTTTGGAAAGTGTAGATGAAATTATTTTTAAGAAAAAAAGGAAGCATGAAAATCAAATATGAAGGAAGGGAAATCCGTTTTTCCGTTTTTGGCGGTAGGAATTAATTATAATCCGGATTCGAAGCATTTTTATGGATCACTAGTAAACTGTTTTATTCCCTGCAAACTACTAGATAATGAGTAATGATGCGAATTTGAAAGATTTCAAATTTATTAGTCATAAATTTTAGTCATACCAAGAAAAGAAAAGGAGGATTGAGGTCTATGATGTACTTACTTTATTTGTCTTTTAAACCATTCAAGCAGTTTTGATTTGAATTAAAATGCATGAATTTGGCGAGAATTATAAAATTCTTTGGAAGTATTAACTTTTTCATTTCCTTCAATTTAATTGGGAAAAAAAAAAATGATGTTAAAGACATTAATATATTTAAACTGTGCATATAGTAGTTAATTTTATACTTCATAATATATTTCTTGAAATAATAATAGACATTTTCATTGATAAAGGAGTAATGAATTTAATTATAAAATGAGGTAGTAAATTGAGATTAAAAGTATTTGCTTGTTTAGCTTTATAATTAGATTTGTTTAGAGAAGAAAACAGCTAATAAAAGTTAATGACGTTCATTAAATTTTGAATGATACAATTTTAAATATATTCCACATCGCTAAGTTTTTTTTTTCTCTCCCAGATTTGGTAAATTATTAAGAAAAAAAAAAACTAAAAAATGAAATTATTATAAGTTGAAAAGAAAAAGTGAAATTACTAGGAAGAATGTTATTTCTGTTAGGATAAATCGGTCTTGTTTTTAATGGTAATTTTCTAATTTTTTTTTTTGGAAAAATCTTATGTTTGAATGATGGTAGCCACACAGTATTTGATTGATCGACTAATTTGAAATTATTGATAGCAATTCTTCGATTTGATTCATTTCTGCCAGATGTTATCCGGTTACTGTTGTTATCATTTGAAAAACAAAAGTATCAAAATGTTTTTATAAATGAATGTTGAGATTAATAATAGTAGTGGCGGTAGTAGTTAATAGTAGTAATATAAAAAGAAAAAAAATATATTTTAAATTTAAACCATTAACATATTTTGTATTTAGTATTTAAAATTTGAAAAAAAGACGATGTTTAAGCTGACTAATATCGCTGCATGTAATGTAAAGTAGCAATATCGTATCATTATTTTTAAGGGAGAATAAAATTATGCTAAAGTGTCTAAAATGTTTCAATTAAAAAAAATTTTTTTTTTGCTACTAAAATTGAACATTGTAAATAAAAACCATTTAATTATCATTATAGTGTTGTTTTCTCATTAATAGAGATAATTTTTTTTTTGTTTGCTTTATTTGGTATTTATTATTCATTTGTCAGATAGAAGTGGAATAAAAAGATAATCAGAAATATTTCTTTTTTATATCGATTAATTTTAGAGAGCAGAAATTGTAATGCAATTCCGATTCGAATTATCGATCTCAAAAGTCGATGAAAAGTCGCGAAGGTCGTATCCTTCATTAAATAATTTGTCATTGTTTTTTGAATCTTATTTTTTTCTTTTTTTGCAAATACTAATGCAAGAAGTGCAATAAAGTTTTTCGTTTTCTTTTTTTTTCTATATAAACTACTATGATAGAAGTTTGTTCTGTATTTTATATATATATTTTAATTCCATCTTATTTCTCATTAACATATTAGTTGACATCTACATTTCTTATAATTAATAATCTTTGAATTATTTAGAAATTCTTTTCATAGAATTCAAACAATAATTCTGTAAATTTTTGTCGAAAAACTACGCTGTGAGATTTTTCCTGATAAAAGTAAATCAATTAAAATTTCATTATTTGGTAGTTCATACTTGCGAGTTAATTAAGCATGCGTAGATTGTTAATTAAATAATGCGATATGTTCATTTCTTAGTAAACTGAATAAGATGACAATTACATAGATTTTAACGTTCTTAATACAAAAAATTGATTTTCATTGATTTCATTGAAGTAAATTAATAAAGACGTGTATTGTTAGTTAAACAAGTTGATTCGACCAATGTGAAATATTATGTATTCAGTCTTATTTTACATCGTTCCAGTATTGTGTAAGTTTCATTTTACTTTTTTTTCTTCAAAAATGCGTTCTTAAAATTACAGCAAATTTGTTAAGATTAATTGCTATTTAATTTTTTCTAAGTTTAGGGAAAAAGATTCTTTTTTTCTTTCAGTTTATGAGATAATATAAATTATCATTTAATTTTATCATTTTCCTTCTTGAATTCTTAATAGTTAGATATTTTCGAATAATTTGTGTGGGATTTTTTCTTCAACGTCAAATTTCGACACTTTGTGTAGATAGGATATTTTCTATGTTTATATTATTGCTAATGCTAATTAATATTATTATTATTATTTTTTTTTTAAAGACTGTTTTTCATTTGCTGCAACAGAATGGATATCGAGTGATAATACAATAAAACGATCATCATCGGTTTCCGGAATATTAGTAATGTGTTATGATGATGAGGAAACTTGCATGAAGGAATGCTTTTTCACATGTCATTCAACTGATCATTGTAATGATTCACTGTCACCAAAAGTTGCATGTTTTCCTCACTTAAGTTTGTACGTGTTTTCTTTTGTCTGGAAATTTTTTTAAAAAAGTTTTATTTTAAAAAATAGTTATGTAGTTAAACTTGAAAATGTTAAGGTAGAAAAGAAAAAAAAATTTTTTTCTAATATTAATTTTTTATTAATGAATAAAAAATGAAATAGTAGATGATAACCTTGAAAAAAGTATTAAAATTAGAATATTAATTTCCTTTTTAAATATTAATTTCGTGCCATATATGAATGGATAAAAAGATTTATCGTATACCTATCAAATCGTATACCTAAAAAAAACCTATTTCAATTAGAATATTTTAAATTAAAGATTTTACATGTATATTTAGAATTAATATTTTTAATATAAAAAAAGAAAATTTCAGGATAGTATTGATGACATTTGCATTTATCTTATTTGTTGTGTGCTGTTGCTGTTGTATTTGTATAGTTGGTCCAGTTTTATTGTGTTACAAAAGTTTACAAAAATGGCAAAGAAAACGGAGGAATAGACGGTTGTTTGTTTGATACCTTTTTTTTTTTGCATTTTGATGTTTTCCTTTTTATTTCTCTCATATTTGAATGATATAAATGACTATGATTAACAAGGTTATTTAGTTACTAGTATAATAAATACTAGATATTAGTATAGGGAGCACTCTGTTTATAACTGATTTATAAGACTAGCTATAAGTTTAATGAATATCCGGGTACTAGTATAGAGTAGTTCGTAGCAGTAAGTATTGTATTTATAACTAATTTTTAAAAGTAATTATCAATTTAATGAAAAGAGTAGATTGTGTTGCGTATGATAATATTTTTAATGTGATATATGAACTCTTCTTATACCAAGATCTTAGTTAAAAGAACTGGTGAAGGGTTGTTAAGTATACCATACATTATTTCTAAAATTTCATTTATTTGTCTTTGTTTTCTGTTACTTTTAACTATTAATTTAAAAAAAAAAGCAAATGAGATTTTGGAAGGTATAAACATCCAAAAAGGAACTAAATAAATAAATAAAAAAGAAATGCTATGATTTGTTTAATCTTTGAAAACTTTGCTGCAAAGCCCAATCGATTATTATTGTAGAAGAATTTCGAACAATGACATCCATTATGTTACATGAGATGAGCTTCTATTTATATTTTCACATTAAAAAATGTTTAGGGAATTTTGAAGCAAAAATACCTTAAATTGAAAAATTCTACCAAAAACTAAATAAGGAATTATTCCCTTCTTTGAAGACCAATTTTTTCATTAATCTAATCATAAGGATATAAAAATTTTTATATATCATCATTTCTGATTTGAATGCAAGATTTGACATAGTACAAACACTGGAATGAGGTAAACACAATGATAACATTTTTGGTCACAAATATCCTATCACAAGAAATTTATATGTAAGAGATTAACACTAGAAAAATTTCAACAACTACTAGCATAAATATGATCCTAGGACTATTAAGTGATACTTTTCGTATAATCATTCTAATTGAAACATATTTGTCTGATTAAAACAGAAAAGATTAGCAGTCACAAGAATAGATTTGTTAGCTAGAAGTGATAACGATCATAAGAGCATACTGACGACTTTTCTACTTGAAATAACTACCTTCATTGATAATTGAATGAGAAGCCAATAAAAGACATAATTTGTTAATGATACACTTTAATTTCATCATTTATCAGCCCGTATAAAAGAAGAAAAAAAATTTGTTGTTATTCAACTTCTTTTTTATTTTTACGATAATTTCGATATTCTGGTTTCAACTCCCACATTGATTTGTGTGGTGGCATTGTATTGTACACAGCAATTTCCGTTAGTATTTCTTTAACAAATCCCTGAAAATACAAATTAGAATAAATTATTTTGCAATCGATGTTTGGGATAAAAATAATACAAAACTTTCACGTTTTACGCTGATTTACTTTTAGTAAGTAAAATATCAAAACGGATAAGGTTACTGCAAGAAAAATAAAACTAAAAAATATAACAAAAAATTATAAAAATTAAGAGTGAGAGATAAAAAGCGTAGAGAAATGTTCCTGAATTTCTATCCCTTCTATTCCTGAATTCGAAACACGGACTAAGGAATAGAAGTCAGACGAAAGAATGAGAATATTGTATATATATGATGAAATAAATGGGTTATTATTTTTTTCTTTTAATAACTTTAAAAAATATTTTTTGAAATTATGAATGAAATGACCGGAGGTTGATTGGTAAGTTTCTGCAAGTCAACCAATCGATAGTATTGATGTTTTTCAAAAGCATGAAATATTGCTTGTCGAACAACATCCTTATCGGCACGAACAGTTTTTGCTCCTTCTTTCTTCTGCTTTTCTCTGGCTAACTGAAACAAAACAAATTTAGAATTACTTCACAGTAAAATATTGCAATTTTATGTCGGAGTATTAAACCAAGCTTTGAATTTTATGGAAAAAAAAGGTTTTACAGCGAAGAAAATTATAGTAATTTGAAAGAATTTTAAAAAGCAAACCATTTCTGCATGAACAGCAATAGGCTTGAATTTCACTTCAGCTTTTTCCATTTGTTTCACATGTCGTTTTGGCTGGCTGCTTTTCTCTATCTGTTTTCTGTAAATTTCCATATTAAGCGAAAATAATGGCTCCATGGACTAAGCATATTTTTATGAGTTATTGTTCCATTATTTTTACAGCAGTTCCTCTTTTAAAAGACCTTTAATATATGAAAAGACGATATTCCAGAAAAAAAAATGACATCCAGAAATCAAATGTGAAGTGAAACTTAACATTTTAGATGATAAAATTTGTTAGATAATATCCATATGTCATATTTCGATATTAGTTAATAGTACTAGTGACAAAACATGGACAGATTATTTTTATAAACATATTTCCCTAACAAATGATTTTCAAAATTCACATTTTCATTCGCATATAGTCATCTGTTTGAGGAGGCCTGCAGTCAGCTCTTTTCACAACTCTCCCTTCAATGCTCAGGCGGCCTGAGCAAATGTTAGCGTCTTCATTTAAGCCACTTTTATCTGAATAATTTAACAGTCAATACGTGTAAACATGAAATCGCTCAAAAAAAATCATAATTGAACCAAAAAAAAGCTAAAATTATTACGAATACAAACCTTCGCAGAGTACAGCTAGTGACTGATTCCTAATATCGCCGATGACAAAACTATGTTCATTTGGTATTAAGAAACTTGCTTGTTTACTTTTTGTGGGACCAATTCGATTATTACGTGATGTTGATAAATTATTCCCAGAAAGTGAGCTCAAAAATGAATCCGATGATGATGCCTCATTGTCGTAACCTAAATGAATCTTAATTAACATAAACAAATTAAACTCAATGATATATGAAACAAAGAAAAAATACTTGATTATATTACAGACATTCTGATTTTGTATTACATTTTAAGAAATTAAAATACCAAAAGCAGCATCATAAAACGATGAAAAAAAAAGTCAATAACTAAATAAATTAACAAAACCTGATGAGTTCTTTTCAAGCAAATTTGTATTGCTTTTAAATATCAAGTCAGTTTTTCCATTTGCTGCTGTGATAACCAATCGTCCAACATCGTAGCCGACATTCTTCTCCCACATCTCGGACAAATATCTCGGTACCTAAAAATCCATATGTAATTTGTAAATAAATAAATAAATAATATAATACTAATTAAAATCTTATATCAAATTTGTAACTAAAAGTAATTTAGTAATTTAATAACAAAGTTCATTAAAACTTGAAGCTTGAAGTATTTCAAGCTTTAATATGTCTTCCACAAATCGCAAAAAAAAAAAAAAAAAAAAAAAAAAAAAAAAAAAACAAAGATGTAAACGGACATGATATGAAAAAAAAGAGCACAGTATCATCGAGAAACGATAAAAATAAGAAATTGGTTAAAAAAAAATGGAAACCATAAATGTCCAGAAATAAAGATAACGATTGAAGGACTAAACAAATACACTTCGAATAACCCTACTCCATTTCATGCAGAAATGGTCGTACGACCAGATAAAACTATCAACTATTTCTTTCTAATCAAACTCCCGCTGGACTGTCATCAATAGTCATACTTAACTATAATTACTTAACAATTTAGACATCAATAACAGAATAAATATCAACGATAGACATTTCCAGTGAAGACTATTGAAGCTTACCTTCACAAGCCATACTCCTCGTTTTGCACAATCAGTATCAACGTGATCACTAAATTTTCGTTTACCATTAGAATTCATCCTACTGAAATAAAAAATAATTTTAAGAAATAAAACTTTCTACGCGTTAAGCAAATTTTTATTGGGTACTTTTCATTAAAAAACCCTTGACACTGACCTAACAAGTGACCTTAACAAACATAACCATACAACACGCTCATATCTAGCAAAAGCATCAAAACAATTAAATTTTATTTTATTGTAAAGTGTATACTATCTTTCCTTAAGCTTTAATTACTAGCAATAATACCGTTAGCAGAATCAGAATTCTACAATAGCGCAATAGCGGATAATAATCACAGCGTAAAATATTACAAGGATTACTACCAAACTGAAAAATCACATTTTTGCTGATTTCTTTTTTTTTTTTTTTTTTTTATTAAACATTAGAAAACTAATTTGAAAACATAATCGATTTACACATTAGAATTGAGAATTTAAAAGAAGAAAAGTATGACCTAGAGAATATCTATCAAATATCTAATCACAGCAAATGCTTAAGCTTCATAGAATTATAGCAAACTCAATGAAGCCAACAGTGAAGCTCAATTCCTCTGAAAAATACGAGTTGAGATCACCAAGAATACTAAGATAATACAATTTTCATGCATATAAGAATATAAAATATAAATATAGTACCTCATTTATTTTAGTAAACAAGAAGAAAAACATAAGTTTGATTTAAAACATTGTTCCAAATCTTAGACTTTCTTAGAGTTATTTAAAAATTACCGAGAAATTGAGGACATAGTTAAGAGTAACAGACGAATATATACAGGACAAAAAATACTACTACAGCATTCTATGCAATCTTCAAAATTTATAATTTTCATCAGAATGCACACAGACAATAAATAATAAAAGAGAAATAAAAACATAATTGTGCACAACTGCCTTCTTGGCCTTTCATTTATATTTGCAAAAGTGATGCAAATCTAAGCATACCTTATTTTTGAAATATAAATCAATTATACATGGGGTATCACCGTCACTGGTACATTTTTTTCAATGCTATCAATATTTACAATGGTCGATGTGCACGATAAAAAATAAGAGAAAATAAGAAAAATATATATGTAGTGAATCTGAAAGAAATTCATCCTTTAAAAGACCATCACATTAAGAAATGAAATAATTATATGTCATATTTTAAAACACTTATAATTTCTTTCTATAACTTAATTTTATGAAAATAAATTTATTTGGAAAAGAAAGGAAACGAAATGAATATTCTTAGTGCAAGCTTAAGTCGAGTTTATAAAGAAATTGAAAATTATTACACCAAATTAAACAACAATTTGAATTAAGTATGGAAACCAATTAATATTAACGTTCAGCGCCTATTATGCAATAATAAATTAGCCGCTTCAGAAGCATCATTACCGCATCGCTGTAAAGCCTCTCTGACATCTTCTCGAGAACCAAGACCCATATCCACAAGTTGACGCACTTGGTCTTCGTTAGATGGTGCACCATCTAAATGTTCCAGGAATAAATAGCAATTTATTTCTTTCTTAAAGGAACCTAAACATACACTCAACATGCATTTGTTGACATACTATCAATAAGTTATAGAAATTGTGAGATCAAGAAAAATGAACCAAAAGTTCTTACATATGCCATTTCTCAGTATTAATAGAATATTCAAAAAATATTAGAAAAAAGAGTTGAAAAAGTACCACTGGATGCCCTGCCCAGTAATCGACTCAAAAAATGAAGTTGATTGTCACTAGGACGAGTCTGAAACAAGTGCCTGATGTGTTACAATTTTAGTAAAAAAAACTAAAACTGAAATTTTCCATCCCAAATTTACTGCTCAAATAAAGCATTCTGAAATAGTTAACTCCAAAAGAAAGTGAAAAATAAATCATAGTTCTATGAATCAATTACACACTTAGATAATTCAATCATAAATATGGTCAACATAGATTCTGTTTGAAGTAATACTACATCGATTATTGTATCAACAAAATTTTTTAAAGTAACTAATTGATCTACATGCTAGTCAATTTCATTAACACCAAACAACTTTAATGGTTAGTCCAGGTGTAATCGAAGAAAAGGTGAAGAAGAGTATCGAATCTTTAAATTTATTGTGCATAAAGCAACAATTTTAAAAATCATCTATTTCACACAGGACTTATAAAAATTATAAAATGTTTCTAACTCGTTCACTGCTGTAAACACGTTGCATTTGTCCAAACATTAATCTCCTTTCGTAATTATCTAGAATATCTATCCTTTGTCTCTCAATCGTTGCTGCTACCGGTAAAACACTTCCCTGCAAAAATTTATTCATAAATTTAAAAAAGTTTTATGCACAATATAATTTGCAAACTTGCATTAAACATTTTCATTTGCCGATTTTTTTTTTTTTTTTTTTTAAATTTACAAAATAACCTCTCTTCCAAATTCACCACATTCTGCAAATTTCTGAAACAGCCAACCAATCGGGTTTGAGGTGGAACGAAATAGCCGAACAAGGGAACTAGGCAAGAAATTAAATTTTGTAGAAAATTCTGGACACAAAAAAACGCTTAAAGCACCAGCTGTACATGCAATCACTACCGGCTTCGATAATGTAAACAGCTGAAAGAATTAGGTGAATTTATTCGTTATGATAAACCTTTAAAGGTTTCTGTAATTTTATTATTTGACCATTAAAGTTATATAATAAAAACAGCAAGAAAATTTGGAGTAAAAATTGTATTACAAATAATGTCACGCAGTTTTAGCTTAAATCAACTGCTGCTGGTTAATGAACAGCCATAAATACACGTAGGTTTCCTGAAGACTTTAAAATGAGTATTTTAAAAATTATCTTTCTCGAAATTATATCTTTCAGTATACTAATAAAAGCGACAATTAATTGTTAGCATCTTCTATTTATTCATATCATATTATATAATATGATATATAATCATGTTTGAGTAGAATAAACTGACATGAAAAAATTACCAAAATTTGTTTCCTTATTATGAAATTTTCAGCAAAAGCAATTAAAAATTGTTACTTACTGTATTTTCATTTTAATTAAAATTAACAACAGAAAAGAAAAGAACCTGAATAAACATAATGAATGGAAAGCTATGCGCTGATAATGATAAGCCAAGTATACTGGCATATGGAACTAATGGTATCTCCTTCACATATGTTAGATACAGTGCAGTGAGCAAATCATACGGTCCAATAACAAAATACATAGTTGATGGGATATAATCATAAAACCGTGAGAGAATAAAATAAATAATTATTTCGATTGCAGTTGCATGAAGAAAATTGAATAAAATGAAGTTCTATAAGTAAATATAACTATTATAATTAATGTCACAACCAATTATACCAAGACTCCAGCATAGTAATTAATCTTTATTTCATTAAGCTTTAGCAGTGGTAAAAGCATTCGATAATGAGAATTAAATAAACTTTATCAAAATGGTCTAACTAAAAACTAGCTTTATTCCATAGCAAACTTTTATAATCACAAACCATCATTGAAATAGCGTTGCATAACTAATGCAAATGAAATACCTTCCTAATTTCTGATAAATAGATATGCAATATCATAGTCTGATAAGTTACCATGAATTTGCAGGAACCAAAGCGACGTTCCACTAATCGGCCATAATATAACAAGATTAATCCACTAACAAGTGATGAAGGATTTTGAAAAATAAATTTTGATGGAATTATTTGCAAAACCTAAAAAGAGCCTTGAATTACTTGTTATCAGCAAATCAGCTATCACCTATAAAAATCAACTTTTATTAATGAATTACAATTAGTTACAGTAGACAATGCATAACAAATCCTTCATGAGCATAAATCAAACCATGCATATTTCTTCAAGAACTCACTCCTTTAATAGAAATGATATTTCCCAATGATGGTGCAATCCAAGAATCAAAATCATTAATACTTAAGTACATGCAGACGACAGAATTGAACAGCGTCATCAATAACCTGAATTTATGTAAATTTCCAAAAACAACTCATTTTTTCGTCAAATAAATATTCAAAATTATAACATTCTTAGCAAATCGATTATTTTTCTTCAGTCAATACAAACAGTAGAATATTTTTAAACTATTAAGTACCATTAAAACATAACGTTAAACTATTAAATACCATTACAGGACAACAAAGCAAATTTAGTACCATAAATTCTCTATAGTACCTCAAACCGAACCTATTTTAATCTCGCCTATCTTATTTTCTTCAATTTATTCCTTGTAATCTGATATAGGTTAAGTAACTTAACGAAACAAACCAAACCAAATCAATAGCTCTTACAACGAAAGGTTAATTTCAATTTCAAAAAAGTCAAAAAAAAAACCAACAAAATTAAAAACGAAGTTATTACCAAGCTTTTGTAATTGGTGCATGTCTGAACAAGTCTTGATTTTGCATTTGATACTGTCCTCTTCTTGCTTGAAACATATCTAAAATTATAACATTCATTAATAATTGATAATAAGTATTCTTAATACGTTTACGATGTCTTATAATGAAAGGAAGAATGAAATTAAAAAAAGAAATATGAAAAAGTGAAAAACCAAACTTGGCTATGCGCAACTAGCTATCGAATGAAAAAGAAATTAGGCTACCAAATTATATTTTAAAAAACCTCTGCCATAATCATAAATCATCTAATTTCCTTTCTTCAACGTAATGCAAAAATCTAATTTTTACTACTGATGGGAAGAACTTTTACAAAACATTATTTTTGTTTATAAACCACTATGTTATATAAATGTATTTGGAAGTTTAATTTAATTTTTAAAGTTCAATCTAATTTTTAGCAATATCAATATATCTACCAAAATTCTCGTAGTTTAATTTTGAAACTTCAGCAAAATTGCTATGCTAATGTATGTATCTCTCATTCCCATAAAATGCTTAATTGTTAAATTACTGATATATTAGCACCATAAAGTTGAAATTAGAAAATGAGATGGATTTTCATCGTGACACTAAGCAGAGAAATATAAACCATACAAGACGTAGCATATAAGTGTCAGTGTAAATTGAGATTGTTTTCTTAAGTGATTGTGGTGCTGATGGTAGGTGGTGGGAAGAATTGAAGTGAAGAAAGGTGGAGGTGAGGTTGGTGATATAAATGAGGAATTGAGAATAGTGGAAAGAAGGGATTGATAATAAGATTAGAAAATATGGTGTAATGCTGTAATATGATGTGTTTTCTTTTTTTTTTTTTTTTTTTAATTTTTTAAATTTTGTGGTAAATCTAAATTTAGATTAAAATTGGACTATCTTGCTGCTGTTAATTTTACTGGAAGAAAGAGAGAGGAGGGGAAAGAAAGAAGGGAAAACAACAAGGAGGAATGACGTGTAGCGGTGGAATAAGACGAACTATTTCATCATCTTCATCATCAACCCAAGTAGACAGTCAAATTATTATGCATACAGTTGTTCCATTACCTGAATGTCCACATTTAGTAGAGGTAAATTTTTTTTTTGATTGCTTTTTATAATTTTTCTAAATGGTAGTTTTATATTGTCAATAATTAAATTTTAGTTCGGAATTTTTTTAAATTTGTTAGGTTTTAATATTTGTAGAAGTTTGGACAAATAGAATTATTATTATTGGCTCAAATGTAATGTTTATTTTAGAAAGTTAAGCAGTGTAGTTTTTATTTTTCGTCTTTGAGTTAAGTTTGTGTCAAAATTTTTTTTTTTAGTTATTATTTGTTTGAATGATAATACTATGCAGAAAATATACAGATGAGAACAGTGAAATGACTTATGGAAATGATTTCGTGCTAATATTTTAGTTTGAACTGAAATTTCAATTTGGATCAAACTGAGCAGTCTTTGTAATAGGAAATTATTAAAAGCTTAAAATACACTGAAACAGTTATTTTCATTTTCAGAGATCCTTTAAATGTACATTAGACATGTGAAAATTATTTGATGGGTTGCATAATCATTGTAAATCTCGATAAAGACCAAAATTCTGCTTTCTTTCATAATCTATCAAATTTATTGTAGCATTATCATACTGTTGCAAAAGTCTTGCATCCAAGAAAAAATAAATTTAGCTTTTATGATAGTATGTTACCTATAGCTGCAATTTTTTTTCAAAAATTGCGCTTATTTTTCCGTTTTCACTTATTATTTCAGATTAGAGAACTTCCTGCTGAAGGCATTAATGCACTAGCATGTTGTTCAGAATGCCACTCCAATGAGGAACAGTGGGTTTGCCTAACTTGCTATTTGGTTCGTACTTTCTTTATAAAGCAAAGTATAACATATCCAGAAGAACTGCAGTTATCGTTTAGCTTAGCATCAAAAGAAAAAAAGATTTCAAAATTGTTAAATCAAATTATGGTTCGTTTATTTATTATTTGCAAAACACATGACAATAATTATTTGTGTTCAAATGTAGCAATCATTTGGCTACTGAATGCAGTTTCATTTCCATGCTATGGCTTACTTTGTACTGAAGCACTACGACTGTGAGTATTAAAATTAAATATTGCAGTTTGAATGATTTTGATATATATATATTAAATTTTGAAAGAGATTTCTTATTCTAGGTCAACTGTAGCCGTTACATTGCTGGTCATGCCGTATATCATCAAATGCGTACTGGTCATTCTATGGCACTAAGTTTAACCGATCTTTCGGTCTGGTGTTATCCTTGTGAGTCATACGTTCATCATGAAGCACTAATTCCTGCAAAGAGTGCAGCGCATCAGTCGAAATTTGGTGTTTCTATACCAGAACAAGGGAGATCAACATTTTAAAAATTCTGCCAATTAATCCTTATCAGATAAATATATTATTAGTATCCATACACAAAATCAGATGCTCATTTTGCTTTTTTTTTTAACGTTTATTGGGGTTGGTGAGTCATTGGAACTGTCATTTTAAATATTTTTTGAAATATAAGATCAAACTGAGCAGTCTTTGTAATAGGAAATTATTAAAAGGTTAAAATACACTGGAACAGTTATTTTCATTTTCAGAGATCCTTTAAATGTACATTAGACATGTGAAAATTATTTGATAGGTTGCATAATCATTCAAAATTAAATATTGCAGTTTGAATGATTTTAATATATATATATATATATATATATTAAATTTGGTGAGGTTGGTGAGTTATTGGAACTGTCATTTTAAATATTTTTTGAAATACAAGTTGTAAGAAAAAAAAAATACTTTTTTCCATTATTATCTGGAAAAACCCAGTACATTGTCATCCTAGTTTGTTTTTATTTTTTGTCTTTTTTACTATGGATCTGTTATTATTCTACTTAAGAATACAAGCAATTGAAAATTATTTTCTAATTGCCGATTTGTCGATATATAATAGGAATATAAGGATTCCACCTTTTCATCATTTCATTCAGATATTAGCGGCAAAAGATGATGAATCTTCCATATAACAATTGTATCTATGTTATTGCTAGTTATCCTTGTCTTTGTAATGTCGAAACCCAGTCTAGATTATTGTAAATTATCATAAATATATTACTAACTGATTTTCAATCTCGGAAATATGAAATTTTGAATTTTGAGTTTCCCTGTAACATTTTTTTTTTGTATTTCATAAGTCCTTGGTTATGTATATAATGCATGTGAAATACGTACAATATATATATATAATTGGAGGAAAAGTGTTTTACCCTTTGCATTATTATTGCATCATAAACCATTCCATTAGTCAATAAATTTATATTACTGTTAAGCTTATTACCTCGTAATAATTATTGGGGAGCTTTAGAATATATGTAATAAATTTCTTTGTGAATAAAAGAGCATGTGGAAAAAAAAGAAAGGGAAAAGGTAGATGAAAAAAGAGAAAAAACTCGTCGCTTGCCTTAAATCATGATAAATTATAGAAATGACATATTGCTATCATTTTAGCTCTGTCAAATAATACTTGTAAAAAAACACTAATATTGATAATAATGATAAGCTATGATTCCAAATAGAAGAGAATTTGTTTCATTATTTCGATTATGTAACATATAACATTGTGCCATATACACTGACGAAGTGTACTTGCACTATGCTGACATTTTTAATTTTAAACTAATTATTAAATTTCAGTGCAGGAGACAGCTCTAAATAATGTTTTGCTTGCCATGTTATCATTTAACATTCTAACTACATTTAACTTTTCAAAATCTTGTGTTAATTCTTCATTTCTTAAAAAAAAAGAAAAATTCAACATCCGTATATTGATTATCAATTAAGATTTGAAGAAAAAAAATTTTTTTTTGCAAATAATAATATCTACTGTATACTATTTACATTTGCATTATATACTATGAAATAGTCAAAATACATTTTATCTTGCAAAATGCTAACTTTTAATAAAGTTTAATTAAATAATTGCTAATATGCGTGTATTAGCTACAATCAGCCAATTTTTTTTTTTTTTTAAATTACTAAAATTAATTTTAGTATTATATTTTTATAGTCGTATATTTGAAATTAGTTTGATAATAGAAATTTTAACATATTTCTCGAGTAAGTCTCAGATTACAATGCATTGCTTATAGCATATTGCGTTCGTTGCCTGGGTGACCATTTTTGGTTGAAGTATAGAAAGATTTACATTTATTAGCATGCTTTAATAATATTTGATAAATTCAACATTTTAACAGCATTTTTATTGACTAGATTCAATTGTAGAAAAATTATTAGTACAATAGTTTAAGTTATTTTATGAAAGTTTTCTTTTTTTCTAATGTAATAAAAAAGCACATATGCTATTTTGTTAAAAAGTTTTACATTTTAATTGATAAAAATGATAGTTTCAATTCTTTTTAGCACTTCTTGATTTTTGTCTTTTTTCCTCTAACAATTGTCTCATTCTTTTTTCTGTCTTATTCATTTTTTTAACTTGATCTATTTAAAATTCTATTTAGAATATTACTCGAACCATGCCAATTACTCATTTAGCATTAGCAAAAATCAAAAAAGAATGAGAATAATAAAAAAAGAAAGCTAATTTATTTTTTTAATTTAGAAAATTTTGAAAATGTTTCTTTAAAAAAAAAAAAAAGAAGCATTATATCAAATGAATGAAAAAAAAAGTTGAACGGTTTTAAAATATTTAAATATTTCAAAAAAATATCAAAAATATATCAGCAATTAAATATATATATATATACGTAGGAAAAAAATATATCAATTTTTTAAGCTTAGTTTACGATCTTTTTTTCTGAATCCTTAGACTTATATTTCATTTTTAAATAATTGCATTTGTGCTCTATGCCTAACCCGTAAATTTCTTTTCTATAATTCAATTGAATTTTTTTTTCCGGATATCATTTTTCAATTATAATATTTAGGAAATATTAACGCTTCAGTATATCTTATTTCTTCTGTTATTATTATTGCTATTCAAATTCTTACTATTCTTTTTTATTTAAAAAGTAAAAGGTTAATCAATTATATTAGCTTTATTTTTTTTATCTTTTATAAATAAGCTAAAAAATATTCTTTGATCTAAAATAAAAATTTGAATTTCACAGATAGTTATAGCAATTTCACATAAAAAAATTTTTTTGGGAATTTGTCCTTTCTTTTTTTTCTTTCAGTTCAAGTAATGCGCTTGGAACAGCATTGAGAGTAGAAAATGCACAATTTATTCATAAATAATGAATCAGCGACAACGGAAACAATTTGGTTCAGCTGGAAATCTTGCTATAAAAGGTGAAAATTTTTGATTTGTAAAAATAAAAATTAAAAAAAAAAAAACTGACTCATTTTTATTTATTGCTTTTTTTTGCGATTTATCATTTTTTTTTTTCGTTTCCACTTCATTTATAAATCTAAATGTCTATTCACATTTGCCAATGTTTATTCATTCATATTTAAAAGTAATATCCTTTAAATATATATATATGTATATACTTACATTGTACTTTTTGTTAAACTTAATGTTATATTATGACTATTTAATATTTGTTCAATTATTTAAAAATAATGTCCTTTTAAATGTATATATATATATATTCAGCTTTTTTTTTTTTTTTTGAGTGAAATATGTATTAAAAAATATTATTTTAAATGCAATAGATAATCATTAATCCCTTTAAATGTAAGTTAATATATATTGAATTTATTTTTCTCATTTTATTTGAATATTTATATCTAATTTGATATTATTTTAATAAATTTAAATTTTTAGACATTGGTTTTTGATAAAGCAAACAGTTTTTTACCTATTATTACATTCCCAGTTATATTACTGCGAAATTTTTAACTATAATAAGATTTAATTTCAAAAAAAGAAAGAATGAAATCTGTTAAAATTTTAGGTACAGGTTATATGGGTTTCAATAAAACATCATGCCATAGGCTACAGCAAAATGTTCAGTCATCTGCAACAATGATGTCACAAAGGTCAGCAGCACATCGAACAATGTCAACCTCAACAACAACCACAAAGACAACACTTCGAAAAAGTGGCAGCATTGGAAATATGCGTAATATTGTCACTTCATCAGTACCGTCAATTAAAACTACCACTTCAAAAGAGTTAGTTTTAAAACTATTTATTTGTAATGAAATTTTTTGTTAGCACCATAGAATGAATTTTTTTATTAGTATTAAAAATGTAATGTATTGTTGAAAAATGCAGGACAAGAACATGTCCATGTCGACAAAATGATCTTGAACAATCAGCAATTCATCTACAAGAGCAATATGCAAGACAATTGCAACAACAAATTTATCTTTTGGAACTTGAAAATAATTATTTGTAAGTTTTGAATTTTAATTTGTAAATTTGAACTGAACGAATTATTATGGTTATAAATGTACAATTTTAACTTAATTCATAAAATTTGTAATGATTAATTATTTTAATGCAATCCTAATTATTTCATCTGTAACTGCTTGAAAGTTTTATTATTACTGATATTATTTATTATTGTTAATAATATTATTATTGCCATTATTATTATTTCCATTATTATTGTTATTGTTATTATTATTGTAAAATGAATTCGACGACAGAAGAATGTTTGTTACTTGGAAAAAAAGCATTAGGAATTCCCGTAATTCCAAAATAATTTTTTATATATTTAATATTTTTGCAGGAAGCATAGTACCGAAAAAGGATCTCGAAAAAACAATGAAAACGATGATTCATATCACAGTGATACTTCACCATCTTTGTGTGTGACTACAAATTTAGCTATATCACGAGAGCATGAATCATCTGGAATTGATAATCCAGATGATGATGATGATAAGGAGAAATCATGGAGAATACGGAAAAGAGTTTCGTATGCGGAACCTGAAGTTACGGAAACATCCATTCCTTCAAATAGTTATGATATGAAATCATCTTCCTATACAACCGATCAAGCTGAATTACTGCATAAATTAGAAGAATTATATCAGGTTATTTCATTTATTGTGCACTAATATTTGTAATTTGAAAAAAAAAAAATGAAACAAAAATTAATTTTTTATTTGATCCTTATTTACTAACAACTAATATATTAATCAATTGTAAATGTTATTTTCAGTATTTGATTTTATTATCACTTACAGATATCGTTAATAGTTGACAATTGAACTCGATGACAGTTTTTTAGAGAGAACGAAAACTTGAGGAATGCTTGAAGCAAAAAACAACTGAAACTGAAAGGATTGCTTATGAAAATACTCAACTATCAGATTACATCGAAGAATTAAAAGCGAAATTGCAAAGAAATGAAGGTAGGAAAATAATAATTGCTTTTTACATTCATCTATCAAAATCTGCAAATCGATTATCGGTAGACTTTACAATTAAAAAAATTGATTGTCGGTAAACTTTATAATTTAAAACGAATAAGAAAAAGAAGAGAAAAAAAAACATTGCATTTAATTCAGTCCTGATAATACACAGTGATAAGCTGTAATGAAAATTCAATTTTTCTACTTCAAGAATTCTTATATTGACTCCTTGAACAATAAATTTATATATTCATTTCAGTTATTTATTTTAAAAGTTTAACATCTGCTTTAATAAATGACTCTTTTTAAGAAAAGCTTAGTGACTCTTTCATTTAAATTTTATTTGTTTGATTAAAAAATTTTTTATCAAACATATTTTAATGATTTTAAATTGAAATTAAAAGCCATTTACAAAATTAGCATATGTATTTAAGAAAATTTTGCAAGAGATAAATGTGCACTAATGGAAGAAGTTGTGGAGCTACAAAGAAGACTTGATTATCTAACACCTGCATTAGCTGATAAGGTTTTTATTAATGTTTCATATCTTTTCATCAGTACCATTATATCATTTTGACAAATATTGTTATTACTTTGTAAAAAGATCTATATAATAGCAGGAATCACATGTGGCGAAAATGGAGATTGAAAAAGATGAATTAACTGATAAGTTACGACATGCAACCAATCAATTGCAGGTAAGTGTTTAAAAAATATTTTCTGTAAATTTTTTTCTTTTTAAGAAAAATTATCAGTTAAATTATTATTTAGTGCTTGGTAAAGTTCTATTTATCATGTGCATAGTCAAAAAAGTTTTAGCTTTTATTTCACTCTTTCAGGAATATATCCGTGGGGTGTTTTTTTGAATTAAATTAAAAAAAAACTGAAAAATTTTGAAATAGTCATTTAAAAAAATGCCGATTTTCTTAAAATTAATTGAATTTGGATAAAAATTGTCATTTGTGTTAAAAGCTAATGAATTAATGAATTGTAATTGATGATTAATACATGGGAATAGATTTATTTATTACATTTATGAAAATTTGTAAATTTAGTTAGAAATATTTTCAATATTAATTATTCTTAATGCTTCTCTTTTTTTTTTCAGATGACAATTGATGAAAGAAATCGAGATGAGAGAGTATTGTTTGATGTCGAAGAAGAGAAGAAAAATGAGATTGATCGATTACAGAAGACAATTCGACATTTAGAAAATACATTAAAAGAAATGGAAAATAAAGAAGCATCATTAATTGTGTGTATTATTTGCTAACTTTTTAATATTTAACAATGATGACAAATTGGCTTACTTCAACTTTATTTAACTTATAGTATATTGAATGTTTAGCATTTATTTTTAATTTTCTTGGCTGTAGTAAAATTGAGAGTTTAGCATTTATTTTGAATTAAATTTGTATTTTATCATTGGTTATTAGTGCATTATTTTGTAAATTGAGAATTTGATATTTGTTTTAAATTTGCATTTTATAGTGTTATTTTAGTATAATACATTTTGAGTGAATGAAATACAAAAAAGATTCACTTTTATTTAATATTGATAGATAAACCAAAATGGCATATTGATAAGGAAATAATTTGATGAGGATTAAATTACTGAAAAATTATTAAGTTTATTCATAATTTTGAAGATTGCATAATAAATGATAAGATGGAAAGAGAATTTTTTCCTTTTCTTCTTTTTTTCAGGATAATATCACTTCAATGAAACGATCACTACGTGAAGAACAATTAACAGCTAAAAAAGATAAAGCTGTTGCCGAAAAGGTTAATCATTAAATTTGCTGTATGTTCGTTGTTCATTATCAGATACATGATAACATTTTGCAAATTGTTTACAAGTAACATTTTTAGCTAGTGATAATTTTTAAAAATTATAGGCTTTGGAAGAAAACAGTGTATTGATAAAAGAGAATTCACATTTATCAGCAGAGATAACACGATTAGAAATGAGGATAAAAACACTTAATCAGCAAATTGATCATACGCAAGAGAAACAGATGAAATTAGCAGAAAATGCTTCAGTTAGTTTATTTTCTAGAATCTTATAATTTAAGGAAAACAAAAACAAGACATCTGAATACGAAAATTTTACAAATATTTCATGAATTCAGAAACATCGTTTTTCCTTTTTTTTCCTTTTTTTTGTAAAAAAAATTCATATTTTACTAAATTAAGAGTAAAAATGATTGCAGCTAAAAGAAACAGAAAAATCATTGAAAGCGGAATTATTGAAAATGGAAGGAAGATTACAAACGGAACAAGAACGCAATCGAAGGACTATCGCAGAGGTTTACTTTTAATATTAGATATGAATTCTCTATAATTAATTTCTATGGAAATATTAGTAATTGGTATTCAAATGCTCAAATATTTATAGATTTAATATAAGGATTGTAAAAATTTCAAGTCATCAATGTCTAGTTTTTTTATACATTTAATGTGAGAATTGTAAAATTATTTGAAACAATTATGTTATATTATGAGAGAATTATATTACTTTCATTTATGCTAGTTGGAGCAATATCGAAAAGCTGAAGAGAGTGCACGAGAATCTCGTGGACGAATGCAAAAAGAATTAGATGCTTTAAAAGTATTATCTGAATCATTATCCAATGAAAATAAATCACTGAGACATGAGAAATTCATTCTTACTGAACGTTGTGATGAGTTGCTTAAAAAGGTAATTTATTTTTCATTTCTTTTATAAATTTTATGATTTTTTAAAAACTATCATTTGGTTATAAAAATTGAAATCTACCACTGATTTACCATTTAAAAATTTGCTTGATAAAAATTCAAGACTATCTAACTATACTACATGATAATCAAATTTTATTTAAGAAAAATTCTTTTTAAGGGAAGTTCATTAACAGATAATGTCACAAATCTTACAACCGATGTTGAAAGTTTAAAAGAAATAAATTTCGGTTTACATCAAAAGGTAAAATTTTGCTATCCCGAAAGTTTTAATTGAGAATTTCGTAAATTAAAGACGAAACTAAATTATTTAAGATGAATGAAACAGTGAAAGAAATATCGTCGCAGAAAAATGAGATAGATTATTTACAAGAGCATAATCGTGATCTATTGAAAAAAGTATGATTTGATAATTTGTAACATTTTTTCCATAAAGGTGAATATGAATGGAATTCACTTCAAATAATTTTTTCTAATTTAATTCCATGTTAAAAGTAAAATTTGTTTTCATTTATTCAAATTTGAATTGAATAATTGCAGGTGAAAAATCAGGAAAGTGAATTACAGAAATATAGAGAACGTTATGAAACTATCGAAAAGAGGTATAGAGAGACATCTGATGAGCTTCAAAAACAAACTGCTATGAGACAAGAAAAGTAAATAAAATTTCTGATTTCATCGACCGGTTACATCCAGTTCCATCCATTCAATTCAGATTGTGTCATTTTAATGGCAGCCAAAATCCTACATTCTTTTATGACCTATTTTATATGAAAAACCATTGATTTAGAAAAGTTGAACATTCCCTTAATCTTTGATTGCTTTAGAAAATTTGAACATTCGCTCAAACTTTGAATATTTGATTAATTCCAGATCAGAAGAATATGATAAATTAGCGAAACGTGTATTAGAACTTTCTGATTCTGTTAAAGATAAAAAACCAACACCTCCTGGCATTACAATGCGACAATCTAAATTACCAACACCCTGGCCTGACAAGTCCTGTCAACATCAGGTAATTCTTAACATTTAAAATTACATAATTAAATACAACCACTTGTTTTTTGTTTTTTTGCTTTTCATGTTTTGCATTAAAATTTCGAAGCAATTTGTTTCCTGTTATAATATCGCTGTAGTTGTTTTCTTTTTTTCTAATATTCTGCCAATGTTAGTATAAATATATCCTTTCGCTACAGAAACATATTTTAGTCATCTCCAATCTCTGAACAATCAGCAACTGTTCAACAGACCAGTAAACAAATTCAAATCAATGAAAGGAGAACTTCCTAAGTCATTTAATCAAATCTGGATTTTTATTAAATCGGCAGCAATACTGCTACAACTGCCATTATATATGCATATCTCTGAAATTTGTTTATTTTGTACTGTTCACATCATAGAGTTGTTACTACACGTTTTTTATAAGACTAAATTCTAAATAAAAAAGAAATTTTCATATATGTACAGAAAGCATGAAGATATTCGAGTGAACTACGATTTTAAAGTTAACATTTCTTTTTATTTTTCAAGAAAAACATCAAACGTGAAAATAAACAAGGCAGGTGGTACACGTTGAAGAGTATACACACAACATTGCACATCAAATTTTGATTTCATAAGCTCTTGTAAGCATTAACTGAAAGCTGTTTTATGAGTATCCTTAATTGCTCCTTTGATATGATCTGAAAAGGAGATATTATACTTAAAGAAATAAGTGAACATAGAAAGTATAATTTTTTTCAGGAATGAAGGTTTTTAAAAAATCATTGGACCTTATAATTACTGCAAAGCGAATTAGAAATAAAATTGTCGAAGCATATTTCACAAAAACGCGCACTATCAATGCAATAATAAAATTTGTAAAAAAAAAAGACTTACATCTGCTAATTTATACTCCTCATCAGCCAGCAATTCGACCAGCTGTGCCGATCGATTTATATCACTTTTTTCAAATATAGTAACCAGCATAATGATAACTGCAGTTATATAACGAGACTTTATTTCCGTAAGTTTTTTGACTTCTTCCTGAATCATAATAAATTAATACATTACGTTGGAATATTCCCAACAGCACACATATTCCTTTTCAACATGTTATAAAACTTGCTGTAAATATTTTTTATAGATAAGACTGAATATCTATTATATTACCTCATTTAATCTTTCACTCTTCACTTCCTTAAATGTCATCCAACCATTTGGAAAACGTAGCACAAGATCGAGTGCTCCTACAGCTTCCTAAAAAAAAAAAATTCTAAATGGCCTGTTTTGTAATTACTGATATATACGCTTATGAAAAAGCAAAAAGCAGTTCCACAAATTACTCATAGTATTATATAAAGTGAGATCAAAAAGCTAACAGTAGTGCTGTGTTTAGAGGCATTTTCATATCTTTGCATTTTTTCATTTGCTCGTTGAAGTATCACTTCAAATGTTATCTTCTGTTGCATATCCATTAATGTTCCAACGTCATCTGTCGAATTCTCCATAATTGAGGGTACTGAACGCTGCGATTGCTTGAACCATTCATTGAATTTCATCAAAGCATTCTAGAATAGCATAATTGTTATTTAGGTATCAGAAAGTTTGGAAAAAAAAAAAAAAAAACCATTTAATCTATCTAAGGCTAGATTAATCTACTAATTTAGACTTATCTATACTAGCTGTCTAATTTAATCTTATTTTATCTATTTAATTCAATCTATCCAATCTTATCTACCTAGTATATATGCAGAGAGAGAGAGAGAGAAAGACAGAAAAACTACATGCTGATCAAAAGGGTTTTGTTTTCAAGGTGATTCCTTTTCAAATCACAAGAATCTCATAATGAATGACAATTGAAACTGACCAAGTAGCATTTATACGCTTTGTATTCAGTGATTGCTCTTAAAATTTTCGGCTCAACTGTATCACTAGTCTCAATAACAGGACGAAATGAGTCCACTATTTTGTCAACCAATTTTTTTGATTGTTGCAAAAGTTTCTTTGCTTTGTCCAATTTGTCAACATCTGAAAAATCCTTTTCTTTTCGAATTTTCAGGAAGTTTAGTTCGTTATTCATAACAACATTACTTTCTCAAAAATGATTCTCCGGTAATGCTTAATTTGTTGCTAGTCGTAAAAAGATTTGCTTACATCCCGAAAAAAAAATTATGAAATAAATATAATAAAACTTACAAAAAAATTCGCGCATTATTTTGTTCATGCCCAATATAGCATCATAATATGTCTCATTATCTGGATATATTAACCAATTCCACGCATTAATTAATATATCATCTGTCATAGATTCCTATGAAAATTCAGAGATAAAAAGAAATAAGCTTGAGCGAAACCACTTTTCATCATGAACTATAACATGAAAAAGAATGGTTTTCGTTGAAAATTTACGTAAATAGCTAATAATCAAGCAATAAAATGCAAAAAAAGAAAAACGAGAAAAAAAAAATTAAAACTGATCACCTCTTCAATTACTGGATAACGAGTAATTATACAATTAAAGATCTTTTTGCATAAACGAACACTATCCATTTTTGCAGCACTGGCAGCAGCAAGGACATCTTTTCGCACATTTTCCTCTTCTAGTTCTGAAAAACACTTATTCTTAATGAATAATGATAATGACCAGAGTAGTAAATAATATACCGAATGAGTTAATAGCACCAATAAAGTACAGCAAAATTCTTTTATTAACATAACCCTATATCGAACAGAAATAAATAGCACTGTTAGAATGTTAGTAATACCTATGATAAATGTGAATAAAGAATGTTAATAAAAGCTTACGACACATAAATTCAACAACCATCTCTTCAGCCATTTCTAACGGTAATTTGTTAGCATAATATGGAACAATCGAGTAAAATTTCAATGAAATCAATAAACGAACGTAGCTACGCATGATTGAGTTAGCGCTTTCTTCCTAAAATCGAGACACAATTTTTAATGTTTTTCAGTATATGCAATTGTTCTGCAGTTATCACAACTAGATTCAACTCAAATATATACGACTAATAATAAAATATATTTAGAATTCATGAAATTGGACCAAGTTTATGGAAATTTAACTTCTAAAAGAACTAAGAAAAGAGAAAAAAGATGAAGCAAAATGATAGTATGATTACTTCACAGATACCGCCTCAAAAGAAAACAAATCAAAAGATTTATGACATCAGCCAAACAGTTCTGATTTAACGAAATGGTCAATTATTATTTACTTTTTCCCTCTGCTTTTTTTTTATATTTTGTGGCAAAATCTTTTATGGGTCATACATATTTCTGACCAGTCTTTAAGCGTTTCCAAGTTTCTTGAATACGTTTAAAAAGTTGTGAAACATCTCTCATCACGGTAATAGTACAATAAAATATATATTAATAAAAAATATATCTCAAAGGATTCTAACTAATCTCACCTGTACCGGTTGACCAGTGAATCGAAGAAGTAAAACAAGATGAGCCATAAAACGTATAATATGTGGAAATTTTTCTAAATCATCCTCATACTGTTCCAGCCACATATCCATACATGCAATCAGTGATAAAGAATCATCATTCACTATGTGTCGATATATAGTGTAATACGGAGATCGTTCAGCCTAAAAATGAGAAGAGTTTAAGATTTCAAATTTAAAGTAAAACATACTAATAAGTAAAACGTACTAATAAGTAATAATTTAAATTCAATTTGCAATAATATAAGTTGAAAAATGATTTTTAAATGAAAGTTTATTGTTTCCAATAATAAAAAGGATAGTCACTTTGAATTTAAATAATATTAAGTATCTTAGAAGACATTTTTAGAACCTTGTTTGACAAAGACAAACCGTAGCAATTTCATCGAAAATAGAATTAATTCGAAGATCGCCATTTTCAACTTCACGACCAATACCAGCATCAAAATCTCCATTATGAACATTGGTAATTGCGGCATCTAAACGTGATTCAACAGCAGCATTAAGATAACACCAAAGGCGATCTTCGGTACGAAATGACAAAGAGAGGGCTGGTTCGAGACGTCCAACTATCACTGACCAGAGACAGGCTTCTACCTGTGACAGTGATGTGCCCTAAAAAAATGATAGAAAAGAAGTGTCGAACTGCTGAGTCCCAATTTACAAAATTTTTTCAATTTAATATTTAAAAAATTGTTGAAACAGACTTTAGAAACGATTTTATCAACAGTCCGCTTAAGCAACGAACGAGATCGAGCCAGATAATAAGAACTTTCATCTACAGAAAATGGTGTTAAAGCAGCACTGCGCGATATTTTCCTCAGTTGTAGCAGAGGAACTAAAGAATAAAGACCAGCTTTTTCTAACAATGATAATGCCTGCAATGATAAAACCAATGAGGAAAAAGTGACTGAATGAACTGAATCATAAATCAATTTGTGGAAAGATCGAGATTTAAACATTTCATTACTTCATCAATTCGACCACATCGCACCAGTGTATAAATCACGCTGAATACTCTGCTTTCTAATTCTTCATCTTTATTGTGTAAACGTCCATGAAGCGCGCCGTCTAAATCCTATAATTTAAGACAATCATAACAGTTGATTATCAATTGGTTTTTTGAATTCACTTTTACTTAAAAATAAGCAAATCTTACAAAATGGAATAAATGGGTGTCACTTCCATGAAGGTAGCAATGACTACTATCTGTATCACAGGAAAATAAAAACAGCCTTACATATTCTGAAAAGTAAACCATAGTTCAAAAGCGAAATAATATCAAACGCCTAATTACACCGTTCATCAGAAAATAATACTCTTCTAGAGTATTGTTTTCTGATGATTAAAAATAAATAAAATGATTACCAAGTCACAAAAGTTTTCACCACGAATTCGAGCATGCAATGTTTCCGCTCTGTAATTGGTGATTTTTAATTACAACGATACAGAGATAATAAATGTACATGGATGCATATGTAGAAAAAAAATATACTTTAGAATTTTAGAATATTTTTATAATTAAAACCATACAAACGGGATACATTAGAGTCAAACGAGAATAAAATGAAAAAAAAAAAGTTATGTTGCAAGAGTTTTGCTGATTTTAATTACACGTTGTTCCATCCAAATAATTCACCAAGGTTTGTCATACTACTTTGAATTTTTTTCGTCTCTTAAATCAGTATTGGGTAAACAATCTATCATACTGCCTGCAGTAAAGGCTAACAGTTCATTGCATAATAAAATTACAATAAATAAATAAAAACTTACCGTAGTGTACAGTTCCTTTCGAGATATGCATATTCGTCCAATAATTCAGCATTTGCTTCAGGTTCA